TCCAGAGATGTCATCATTCCCCTTTCTTCGGCTTTGGTGAGGCCGCATCTGGAGTATTGTGTCCAGTTCTGGGCCCCCCACTACAAAAAGGATGTGGACGCATTGGAGAGGGTCCAGCGGAGGGCAACCAAAATGATTAGGGGGCTGGAGCATATGACCTATGAGGAGAAGCTGAGGGAGTTGGGTCTGTTTAATCTGCAGAAGTGAGGAGTGAGGGGGGATTTGATAGCAGCCTTCAACTTCCTGAAGGGAGGTTCCAAAGAGGATAGAGAAAGGCTGTTCTCAGTAGTGACAGATGGCAGAACAAGGAGCAATGGTCTCAAGTTGTGGTGGGAGAGGTCCAGGTTGGATATTAGGAAAAACTATTTCACTAGGAGGGTGGTGAAGCACTGGAATGGGTTACCTAGGGAAGTAGTGGAGTCTCCATCCCTAGAGGTGTTTAAGTCTCGGCTTGACAAAGCCCTGGCTGGGTTGATTTAGTTGGAATTGGTCCTTCCTACAGCAGGGGGCTGGACTTGATGACCTTCTGAGTCTCTTCCAGTTCTATGATTCTATGATTTAGGTGCCTCAACTTCAGTTTTGTCTCCACAGTGATCCACAAAACTGCTCCCTAAACTTGTAGGCATCTAAATTTACTCTGTGCCTAAGTTTCTGCCTCTCAGCAAGCATGTTGCTCCTCCCTCCAGGCATTGGGCCAACTGGCTCCCACCTATGCCTTATAGCAGTTCAGAACACATGCATTCATCCACTTAAGTTGGAAGCAGAGCTCAATATAGTACATATGATTAATGTCTGCCTCCTAAATGAGACCTCATTCAAAATTTGGCAGGTGGCAGTGCAGCCAATCTCATAATATTTATCACAATGGTTAGAGCACTCACCCAGAATATGGGAGACCCTGGTTAAAATCCCCCGTCTTTGTCAGAAGGGCAGAAAGGATTTCAGCAGGCAGTCTCCTCCTTAGGAAAGTGGCATAACACTTGTGGAAGTTACTCAGAAGGAAAAATTGAGCTGATTAATCTTAGGAAAGATTTCTGCACTTTACCCTACCTCAGGTTCTGATAACTGTCTTGTGCTGCTCAGTGTTTCATTTAAGAGACTTAACCATAGCAATTTACTCCTTGCATGTGTTGTGAAGATTATTGACTCTTCTGTCAATTGCTTTTCTGAACTCTGCTTACCCATGACTTTGTTTTGTTTTAGTTTATTCACAAAGCTCCCTCACCTGGCAGGAACAGAACAGAACCTTCACCTAGCTAAGCAAATTCAAGCCCAGTGGAAAGAATTTGGATTGGATTCAGCAGAGCTGGTTCATTATGATGTCCTCCTTTCTTACCCAAATGAAACTCAGCCCAACTATGTCTCAATTATTGATGATCAAGGGCATGAGGTGATCTTATTTTAATAACTATATGTTGAATAGCTGTTTAAAGAAACAGGGTCAGATAGTACCCACATATATACCTGTACATCTTCATTGTGTTTTATAATCTGAAGAAAACTCTCAACCTTAAAAAGGAAAGTCCGCTATTGGCCAGGTCTCTTGGACTAATGACTAGAAATGATTTCTGCCAGGACAAATCAGTGGAGATTGCTTATATCCTGCAAACACATGAAAGTTGTCCACTGGCTTATTGCACCCTTTTTGTGTTGCTGTGCAACAAACCAAGCACAAGGCTGGTTTTGTGTGTGGTAAAGCCAACCCTACCCTAAGATCCAATGTCAATATTTCACTGCTTTTCACATACAATTTTGACACCTCCATATGATTAGGGTTTTTTTCTGGCTTCCCCTCTTAAAAGTGTCTAGCGCACCGAAGTAGATGTAATAACATATGAATGCATTACATGCCTGCCTTCTCTGCAGAATACAATAATATCATGGAGGAGCTACAATAGTCTTGCAGAATTAAGAGTTTGGAAAATAATATGAAATATAAAATAACCATTCAAATGAAAGTGAAATCTTTGTTTATTCCATTTATATGTTAGAGAAGGGGCAAGTAGCACTGCCATAATTAAGGTTGTCTAACAGTTTCCATTCTAGGATCCTCTTTTCAGTCACTTATGCCATTGCCACACTATAAACATTTAGACTGAAATTTTCCATGCTGGGTGTCTGCCTCATGCGGAATATTTTTTTTTAAAATTTCTGCTGAACAAGTATATTGTTTTGCCCATGTTAAATTCTAATGACCTTTTTTCTAAGAAGCTCTGAAACCCCTATATTTGGAAGAGGGGCTTTGGCAGAGATTGCTTTGTGTCAGGGATGTGCCTTTTCTTATCCCTGTGAAAAATATATCTAGATTTGCTCAAGTTATAAGCCTTTGAGGAATTGAGGTTTACACATGATCAGTAACTACTTGGTATATCTTCACAGTTAAAGTCCATGAAGACTTTGTATCCATGGAGCATGCTCCAGCCTAGGGCTGAGCAGGAGTTTCCTGGACTTTGGGATGCTGCACGCTGGGCTTTGAGACTGAAAGTAGGGCAGCTGCCTCCCCTGTGCTCACAGAGCCCCCTCTGTTGACTTCCAAACTGGGGAAAAAAGAAAGCCACATGGATGGCATGGAGAGAGGACACGAGCCAGACCAGGGTGAGGACAGGGAGAGGAGATTGGGACAAGGAGCCTGTGGGGGTAGGGAAAACTGGTCCTGGGAACTAAGGTTGGGGGCAGTTGAGGTGAATTGAGGAGTTGGAGGTAAGGAAGACTGGGACTGGCAGCAAGTGAAGTGGAAGGGAAGACAATTCAAACAAAGAACCATGCTGTGAGGGAAGCATTGGGCATGACCCTGGCATAATTAGTGATGGGAAAGGAACACTGGAGCGTAGGGACAGTGGGATAGAAACTCCAAGTGAGAAGATTAGAAGTGGCTGGCACAGGAATGGGGATTGAAATGAGAATCATGTGGAGTAGAAACTGGGACTGGCTAGATGAGGAAAATGGGACAGGGATAAGGAGCCTGGGTGAGGAAGAGGCAGGACTAAGACAGGTATAGGCTGGAGGGTGAAGGGGAGTAAGGGTGAAATTTGGAGTAAATGGTTAGGACAGTTTGTGGCCACTAGAGCACTATCCCCTCCAGTCTATGAAATTACACACACACAAGTTAGGATAAAATAACATTATTAAGGTTTTAGAGTCAAGCACTGAAAAGACAGGAAATGCCAGAATTAAGATTGCCTGCGTATTGTTAATTCAGCCCCATTGTGCTCATGCTTTAATTGTATGTTCACATATTCTCTGGCATTTCCTACCTTTCGGGTACTTGACTTTGCAACCTTAGTGTGTGCACATGAAAATCCCACTATTCTGCTAAGTGGACAACCAGTCTCAAAGTAACATACCCTGAAAAATTCATGGACTAATTTTGTTTAAATACACAAATAAATAAATAAACAGATGAATACATAAAATATTTACATAATAATGATCAGATCCAAATTAAACGCCTTATCCTTCTACGCTTATTAACACTGAGTAGTGCTTCAGTGTATGAATGAGAGTAGAATGGGCTTTAGATATATGGGAGTATTCTGAATAGTAACAAAAGTTCTTAACCTAATCAGAGAATAGATTAACTACTGAAATAATAGGAGGGAGCAATAATATAAGTGGAAGCCACCAGTAAATTACAAAAAGTCTCTATAAAAACAGACACAAACTAATTGTCATTCATTTTCAGCAATCTTTAGTTATTCCTCTGTTTGGATTCAGAGGAGTCATAAAACCTTATATTCACACCTATATCTATCTATCTATCTACTCTCATTCAGTTATGAAGTTCTAACTATGTATACCTTTCTCACTTCATTACACATGATTTATTTTTTGCTATTTTCATCTAAAATGGTGTTCTGTTTTAATAACTAAATTTAGTGCACAAAATTTTGCCAAGACTTCACTGAACTTGCCCAGAGAGAGAATTTCCCATATAATTTTTATTAAAGTAACTGTTTATTCTTCTTGGCTCTTTTGGTAGATTTTCAATACATCATTGTTTGAGCCGCCTCCTCAGGGATATGAAAACATTACTGGTGTGCTGCCACCATATAATGCTTTTTCTGCACAAGGAATACCAGAGGTAGGAAAATAATTCTTATGAATCCTGAGGGCTGAAACCGTATTTTGGGAAAGAGGCACTGTCCATCTGTTGTTCTGACTTCTTAGCATATTTTTGCAGAGAGCTCAGTTAGGTAAGGTGAATACTGAAGTTCATTATGCTATAGCTTAACGAACAGCTACAGTTTGTGCTGAATACAATACAGTCTAGAAGTTACCCATTTAACAAAAAATGTTCTAAAATTATTCAAATCAGATATTACAATTTCTATTTAGAAAGATACTTCATTGTCTAGGTAAGGCTCATATCGTTCCTTCTACTGGGGAAACCTAGGACATAGGGTGGCAGGAAGTACTCTGAAATTTATCTGCTTTATTCATTAAGAATTCTCGTTTGTTTTAAATCTGAAGCACACACATGCTATGAAAGGCCATACTTCCTAAAGTTAATGTGATTGATTCTTCTGTGGGGAATAATACCAGAAAACATTCAACACACATGTTGCCTCTCATGAGTGGACTAAAATAAGTAAAATAGGAAGTCTGTCTATTGAGTAGCAGCGTATTAGGAATAGCAATTTTTTCTGCACTCATGCCATAAACAGTTTGCGCGTGCTTTGCCAGAAGAACAATCGAGTACTGTAGTATTCAACATCAGATAATGAGGATGCTTCTAACCATGGGTTTATGTAAAGAATTGAAACAAGCCTTTCTATCAAATAATTTGGGAGAATTTTGCCATTCATTTTAGTGGGCACTGGATCAAGCGTGTAGAACTGTATATACTGTGTGTACTGTATAAGAGATGTTCAATAAATAAAGTTGTGTGATTTTAAAAACAGATAGTTTATAAGGCTAAAACAGAATAATTTCTAATTTCTGGCCTTCTTTTTTCCCCGGACAGGGAGATTTGATGTATGTGAACTATGGCCGTACCGAAGACTTTTTCAAGCTAGAGCGAGAAATGGGAATTAACTGTACTGGAAAGATTGTTATTGCCAGATATGGGAAAATCTTCAGAGGAAACAAAGTAAGTTGTAGGGTTGGGGTAGGATGGTAGTGTTCATTTCTCTTTCTTTCTTTCTCTCTCAAATCATAATTAGATCAGCAAATTAAAGGTCTGACGCCGCTTACATTGAACATTAAGCCCTCGCTACAGAAGCCCAAGAATGTCATAGCCAAATGCAAAAAATTTGACATTTCTCAAAAGCAAATAATTTTGCAGGTTAAAAATGCCATATTAGCTGGAGCCAATGGGATTATACTGTATTCAGACCCTGTTGACTATCCTGTTGTTCCTTCCAAAGAGAGATTTTTATTCCTTTATACCATGAAGTAAATGTTTTACTGTAAACTAGAACATGTGAGCCAATTCTGATCCAAGAATCAGGCCTGCAGTGTATGCTCATAATGTGTATTAATAATGACTTGAAAAACAGGAAAGTGAGACGGCTGGTTTGGAGTACTGAAATTGTGACTGAGATGAATTCACTCTCAGAAGGTGCTTGCAAAAGATTAGTTTAAGAGGATTTATTAGCCCATACAACCAGTAAACATTACTGCCTCTTTCCATCCATAGATCTCAAAACATTTTCAAGGAGTAGGTATTGTCCCATTTCGACACCTGGAAAAACTGAGTCATGGAGGTTAAATGACTTGTCTAAGGTCATACAGCAAATTTAGCTGTGTTGACAATAGTACCTTGTTCTCCTGCCTCAGACTTATGCTTCATGCTTGAGATCATGCTGCATTTTGACATACGTTTCCCTTGAGTTAATAATTCCACATAAAAATTCTGACGTGTCTCCTGATTGATGATGTGTTGCAAAGCCCTAGAATATCATAGCCAAATACACATATTTTGACATTTCTTAAAAACAAATAATTTTGCAGGTTAAAAATGCCATATTAGCTGGTGCCAAAGGGATTATACTGTATTCAGACCCTGCTGACTACTGTGCCCCTGGAGTAGATCCTTATCCATCTGGCTGGAATCTTCCTGGAGGTGGAGCCCAGCGTGGAAATGTTTTAAATCTGAATGGGGCAGGGGATCCTCTCACACCAGGTTATCCAGCAAAAGGTGAGTGACAGATTTGTAGCTCTAAACATCGGACACTTTCTGAACTGGTGTTGAAAAGGATCTTGTCACTAGTGATTAAACTGTTGTTCATACTCATCAAAAAAGTCCTGCTGTTTAAGAGGATTTCCAACAAGAGTTTATTTTCCTAGGGTGGAACACGTTTTCATTCCAACTGGCCTTCCTCAAGTAAAAACATTTCCTGGCAAATATCTCTCTGCATATTATCCAGCATTTACAGTACTTATAAAACAGAATGTGCATAGACCACGCATTAAAAATGAGTTTGGATTTACTGAGATTTGCAAGGAACTATGTTTCTCAAGAGGACCAACTGAAACTGGATTATAGCCTACCATCAAAGAGGAGAAATAATCTTGCTTGGATGTATATTTCTTTGCTGATCATAAATGCCAAGCAGAAAAACATCAGTTTATGTTCATATGGATTGAAATTTCTACTTTAAAACTAGCAATTGCTACTGGAGTCAGTAGAATTAATCCCTGATGTGTGATAAAATGGTAGGTGATTAAAGGTTATATATCAGGGATCAGTGTACGTTGATCCTAGATGCAACTGTTGGACTCTTTTTTACAAAAACCATTTCAATTAAAAGACAAACTGATGAGGACGGGAAACCTGATATTCCAATATATTCTTGGTTTTTCAGAATATACCTTCAGGTCCAATATTGACGAAGGAGTAGGAATTCCCAAAATTCCAGTTCACCCCATTGGATATCATGATGCAGAAATACTATTACAGTAGGTAGAGATCAATCCTTTGTACTTGGGTTCAGTATTCATGTTCACACTGCAAAAAGTCTTTTCTGCATTGAAAGTTAGTAAATTGATGCCCTTTTTATTGCTTCTGCCTGTTACACACATACACACTCGAGTATACATATAAAAACATAAGAACATAAGAATGGCCGTACTTGGTCAGAACAAAGGTCCATCTAGCTCAGTAGCCTGTCTGCCGACAGTGGCCAGCACCAGGTGCCACAGAGAGGGTGGACCGAAGACAATGATCAAGTGATTTGTCTCCTGCCATCCTTCTCCAGCCTCTGACAAACAGAGGCCAGGGGCACCATTTCTATCCTCTGGCTAATAGCCTTTTATGGACCTAACCTCCATTAAATTATCTAGCTTCTCTTTAAACTCTGTTATAGTCCTAGCCTTCACAGCCTCCTCTGGCAAGGAGTTCCACAGGTAGACTACGTGCTGTGTGAAGAAGAACGTTCTTTTATTAGTTTTAAACGTGCTACCCATTAACTTCATTTGGTGTCTTCTAGTTCTTCTATTATGGGAACTAATAAATAACTTTTCTTTATCCTCCCTCTCCACACCACTCATGATTTTATATACCTTTATCATATCCCCCCCTCAGTCTCCTCTTTTCTAAACTGAAAAGTCCCAGTCGCTTTAACCTCTCTTCATATGGGACCCGTTCCAAACCCCTAATCATTTTAGTTGCCCTTTTCTGAACCCTTTCCAAGGCCAAAATATCTTTTTTGAGGTGAGGAGACCACATCTGTAAACAGTATTCAAGATGTGGGCGTACCATAGTTTTATACAGGGGTAGTGAGATATTCTGTCTTATTTTCTTTCCCTTTCTTAATAATTCCTAATATCCTATTTGCCTTTTTGACCGCCGCTGCACACTGTGTGGAAGTTTTCAGAGAACTATCCACGATAACTCCAAGAGCTCTTTCCTGAATTGTCATAGCCAAATTAGTCCCCATCATACTGTACGTATAGTTGGGGTTATTTTTTCCAACGTGCATTACTTTACACTTATCCACATTAAATATGCTGCAGAAATACAAACAATTGTTCTCTGTAAATCTTTTACTGAAAGACAAAATGGGGAACAATTTTATTCTGTAGATTTTCCCCAAAAGAGATACAAGACTAGAAGTTTATTTTATTAGTCTTTCTACTTAACTCTATCCTCATTTTAGTGTATGAATATCTCTAAGCATTTTTAAAGAATTTATGCTAATTCACAGGCCCTCTTAGCAAATAGTAAATAATTGCACATACAGTTTGTTCAACACAATCATCTAGAGCTTTGTAATCCTTCCTCATACTCATTTTCAAGTGTGTTACTTCTGTGGAGAGACTTCGACTCTTAGCCCATTGGCTAACTGTTTTTGTCTTGGTTTTAACTTAACAGCTTCCTGGGAGGACCTGCAGCACCAGACAGTAGCTGGAGGGGAAGCATCAATGTGTCTTACAACATTGGTCCTGGATTTGCAGGCAGCTATTCTACAAGGTTTGTTTGAACACTTTTAACTATTTATTGAACATTGCAAAACCAAGTAAAACCTTTCAGGATAGGAGTCTGAGGAATATTTCATCTTGGAGCTTAGCAGAGAAATTAACTTCCCTATGAAACGGCAGTATAGCTGGATGGCAATCTTTAAATCCTATGTCAAAACAATGGGCCTCCTGCATGACAATGAGAAGACTGCTATTGAACAGGCATATATACATAAAAGCCATGTATATCTCCCAACTCTGCTCTTACATTAAGTTTCAGTCAATATTTTCTTGACAGTTTCAAAATTTAACATTGGTCAAGAGTAACTAGCCTTTTTATTAACTTTTCCCCATGTCTAGAGAAAAGCAAATGTTTTAAAACCTTTCTCTTTCTTTTTCTTCAGTTCTTTTTCTAAAGACTAAGGTAGTGTTTTCTAAACTTTTTAAGACCGAGGAACACCAAACAATATTTTTTTTTTAATGAGGAACACCAAGGATTCCTTAAGCCAAGGATTCCAAAAGCCAAGATCCTTAAGATAGCTAGGCTCTTATCTCCCATAGAAATCTGTGCGAGTTAGATACCTAAAATCTTTTGAGGATCTGATCCAAAATGTGTTGAACACACTGGAGAGCAATAAACTGTATAATGAGAGGAAAACAATATTAAAATGGACAGAACATGTATTAGGTTGCTAATTACATTTCTTGATTACTTATTTATTCATAGGATTTTTGACACCCGTTACAGTATCCTTATAAATCAGTTATTGGAGAAGCTCCTATGGCTTCACCACGTTACAGGCTCAGGGCAATGAACCTGCAAGCTTTTGTGCACCAGAGTAAACTTTATGGATGGGAATAGTCCTATTGAGTCCAATGGGATTGTTACATGTTTAACTTTTTGCAGGCTCAAAGCCTTGGGTTTACCATCTCTTCTGGGCAACAGTCCATTAGTTGTGCTGAAGAAGATATTGGTTTTGACAGCTAGAGAGCTTTGCCACTGAGAAAATAACTTCCAATGAGACCTGGTTGGATTTTTGCCCAGGGCAGACAAATGTGTTTTTTGTTTCACAAAGAAAGAGAGGACTGGATATTCTTTGTCTTTTGCTGAGTTCCTAAATAGTGAATGATTTTTTTTTATGCTCTGGCGAAGCTTGATCACTTTGAGTATGTCTCCACAGCAAAGTTATTTCAAAATAACAGCCGTTATTTTGAAATAACTTTACTAGCGTCTACACAGCCAAACCGCTGTTTTGAAATTAATTCGAAATAGCAGAGCGCTTATTTCGAATTTGGTAAACCTCATTCCACGAGGAATAATGCCAAATTCAAAATAGCTAATTCAAAATAAGAGCTGTGTAGATGCTTATTTCGAAATAGGGGCCTTCCCAGGGTGCCCTGCTGGCCACTCTGGCCCAAACCAGGAAAACTCCTCTCCTTCCCCGCAGCCCTGGAGCCCTTAAAGGGGTAGACTCTGGCCATAGTGCCTGTGCCAGCTGCAAGCCTGCCAGCACAGAGCCAGCAGTTGCTGCCCCTGGCCCACCATGAGCCAGCAACTCACTGACACTCAAACCTCCACCCAGGAGCAGCCCGAGGCCGGCTGCGGCAGCTGGCGCCCCAGGCGGAACACTGGCCCCCCTGCCTGCAGGGCCGTCAGTGGACTGATGTCATCATCGGGCACCCCAGGCAGCGGCACCCTAGGCGGTGGCCGAGTCCGCCTATAGCCACAGGCCGCCCCTGCCTCCACCGCTCCCCAGGAGCAGTCTGCCAGCTCCCAGGGCCTGCCAGGAGCCATAAAACCCAGACCCCTGCCCCTATTATGATGCCCTGGACCGCATCCTGGGGCGTCAGACAGTCTGTGCCCCCAAGGTGCTCATCGACCCTGGGGCAGAAGGTCCTGACCAGGGCATGGAGGAGGTGGAGGAGGAGGAGGAGGACGATGGCCGGGAGTTGCAATAGCCTGGAGGAAGCGTGGCACTCACCCAGGACCCCCGAGGCATCACAGCAGCCATGTCACCGGTGTTGTCCGAGGCTGGAGAGGCCTCAACATGTGAGTACCATCACTGTCCCCTTATGTGGAGCGGGTCAGGGGAGGCGGAGAGGGAGACCAGGGACCACGCATGTGAGCCTTGCTGACAACGGAGCACGCAGCAACCTGTGCATGTGCCGTGCCACTCTGGGCACATGGCCCCGGCTAGCTGCCATACAGGGGCCCTGGCCTGTTACCCACATGTGTGTATGTATGAAGGCACATGACATGCTCCTGACCCCGGGGAGGGACACTGCATGTTGCCCTCTCTCCACAATCCCCCCCCCCAACGCAGAAGCAGGGCACATCTCCCCTCCCCCACACCCATACCCACACTATATACAGCATAGGGGCAAGGGTGCAGTCCCGGGCCAGCACACACTCCCAGGGATAGCAGGACATGCCAAACATGGCCTGTGTGCAAGCAAATCCGCTTTAATGGTGCGGAGACCTGCCGTCCTTGCCTTGCAGAGGGGGGTTGGGCTTCACCCATTGTGTCCCTAGGGAGAACTGACCACTTCTCTTGTTTCTCCACAGCCGCAGCAGCTGCGAGTGCAGGGCGCACCACCCGCAAAGGACATCCTCCTGCACCTGGGCCAGCTGGGTGACCCGGAACCAGAAGGAGTACCATCGGCAGTACCTAGGGATCCTGCAAAGGCAGGTACGCATCCTGGAGCACTGGGTGCATGAAGACCTGCAGCTGTGGTGGGAGAGCTTGCAGGAGCTGCTTTCTCAGGGCAGTGCCATCCCCGCACCCGCAGTGCTGGGAGACAGGTGGACCAGCAAGACCCCCAACCCTGAGTTTCTCCTCCCCCTTCCAGCTCCTTCCTCCCAGGTTTACTCCTCCCTTCTCCCACCTTCCCCCCCTCCCCAGTTATGTTCAATAAACAGAGTCTGTTTTTGGCAACATAAGTTTTTATTTTACATCAGGAAGGGGGGTTAGGGAGGAGAAAGTGGAAGGACGTGAGGATGGAATAAGGCACATGGCCCCAGTAGAGCATGCCAGGGAGACTTCACTCCTCCTCTGTCTGGAAGCTCTTCCGCAGGGCCTCCTGGATATTGACAGCCCCCTGATGGGCCTCCTGGCTGGCAGCCATATGGGGCTGCCCCTCCAGGCCTTGCAGGAAAGCCTCCCACTTCCGTTCACAAAAATTGTGCAGCACACAACATGCTGCCACCACGGGAGGGATATTGTGCTCAGCGAGGTCAAGGCGGGTGAGGAGGCACCTAAATTGTGCTTTCAGTTGGCCAAAGGCCCCCTCAACCACGATGCGGGCCCTGGTCAGCCTGGCATTGAAGGCCTGCCGGGAGGGGTTGAGGTGCCCTGTGTACGGCTTCATGAGCCAGGGCTGTAGGGAATAGGCCGCATCCCCCACCAGGTACACAGGAATGTCCATGTCCCCGACCCTGATGTGGTAGTCGGGGAAGAAAGTCCCGGCATGCAGCCTCTGGCACACGGAGGAACTGCGGTACACCCGCATGTCGTGTGCTTTGCTGGACCAGCCCACGTTAATGTCCCCCTACAAAGGAAGTGGCCCCGGTGGTTAGACACAGCTTGCAGGATGACTGAGAAGTATCCCTTCCGGTTTATGTACAGGGAGGCCTGGTGGTCTGGAGCACGGATGGGGATGTGCGTCCCATCGATTGCCGCCCTGCAATTGGGGAAGCCCAGGGCGCCAAAGCCCTCGATGACCACGTCCACTTCAGTGAGGTGGATGACTCTGTGGAGCAGCACTCTACTGATGATCTTGACCACCTGCAGAGGGACACACAAAATCGAAAGTCACTGGGGTGCCATGGTGGCTGAGAGTGCTCCTTCCCTGCCACTGCCCCACATCCCTCCCCCCAGGAGCAACCCCTTCTGCAATCCTGGCCACCGCGGGCAATCCATAGTGCGGCTGGGACAGAACAAACCCTCCCGGGGAGGGGACTTGCACCACCTCCCCCCCTTTTCCCTGGGGCAGCCCATCCCTTCCTTGCCCTCCCTTCCCCACCCCGGCATAGTGTCTGGAGACTGCCATACCTGCACGAGCACTGCTCCGACGGTGGATTTCCCCACGCCGAACTGGTAGCCGACGGATCGGTAGTTATCCAGCGCGGAGAGCTTCCATACGGCAAATATTTCTAAATAATACATTCTGAAATAACACTGTAATGTAGACGTACCCTCTGATCTGCTGTCTTTATGTCCTTGGAGAATTAAAAACAGTTTATTCCTATGTTTTCACTGTTCAGTTGTTTCATGCAATTTAAATGACCATTTCTCCAATTACCATTTAATCAGACTTACTTATTATTTTTCTATAAAGAAAAGCATCATGTTCTTATGAGATTTTTAAAAACACATTTCCATAATTAAATATTGTCCTATCATTTGGGGTCAATATTTAATATACTTTCATTTACTATTTTTCTTTTTATTGTGATCTGTGGGTCTGTTGTTAATCTATCCTGTCTTAAAAGTGTTGAAAGGAAATATTATTGGCATGACTCTCTTTGAAAGTATTGTGACAAATTTCATAAATAACTTTGAAAGTCAACGAATTTGTGTGTTTGGTGGAATTTTTCTTTATCATCCTTCAGTTTCAAATAAATATAAGGAAATGACTGCAGTCCAATAAGATGTATAATCATGCTTAGCACATTGGCCATGTAGATGTAATTTCATTCATAGATTGCAAAACAGTTTATTTCAGAAATAAAGTTTCATTATTCCTGCTATATGATGGGGAAGTTGAAATGTCAGATGAGGTCACGTATCAAGCCAGTAGCAGTGCTGGGAATTGGTTGCCCTGTGTTGTTGGATTATAATATTAAAGTAAAATTGTATATATGGATTGTGTTCTCACCTTTTTATTTTAAGTTTCATTCACAGTTTTCTTGATACTTTGACATTGGTAATTAGCAGGGCTCGCCAAGCCGTGGTGAGTCCCGCTCGCCAGCCGTGCTGTCTGGCGATCTGCGCATGCACAGATCGCCCGAACCCAGCTCTTCTGGGTTGCAATCTTTTTGCCACGGGCGAGTAGATTTCATAGTTTGTTGAGCCCTGGTAATTAGTCATTTTAATTAACTTTTAAATATTTTGCCATCAAGAGCATTGTTTCACATTTTTTTCTTATCTTGGCCTTATTCATTCCTGTCTGCAAAAACTACATTTATATTGGGGAAGTAAAGAGGGGATTGAAATGCAATTCATCCCCTCTACATGGAGGTAAGCTACAACATCTTAACCCAGGCCTGGGCAAAATATGGCCCATGGGCCAGATCGAACCCAAGAAGCCACCAGATCTGGCCTGTGGATGCTGCAGGGAGCCCCAGACAGGCTCCCTGATTGCCGCAGCTGTGGGATTTTTTTTTAAACTGTGAGTCTGGAAGGAAGGGGAAAGCTTTAGGAACTGCTCCCGCCCCCAGCACTATCCTATTGGGCAGTTTCTGGCCAGAGACTGGCCAATGGAACCTGCCTGTTTCAATAACAGGCAGCCATGAAGCACAAGGGGCTCCAGAGCACATGGCTGCTGCCTGTATCGGGGCAGGGCAGGCAGGGTAGGCAGGGAGGCTGATTCAGGAACTGCTGCTGGCTGGCAAGTCTCCTGGCAAAGCCTACCTCTGGCACCTGAGTCCCTTCCTTCCCCAACCCTCTGCCCCCTACTCAACATACCCAAATCCTCTGACCCTCTTCTGCACCCATATCCCCTCCCAGATCCAGCACCCCAATCACCTGCCCCAGAACACAGTCCCCTCCTGTCCTAGCTCACAACCCAAATCCCTGCACCACCCCCTCCTGTACCTCAATGACCTGCCCTAAGTCACAGGCCAACCCCCTCTACCTCAGTCCAGTGCCCCAGGTCACAACTGCCCCCTTCACCTAAACTGCCTTTCTTACGCCAAGCTCCCTTTTGCACCAAACCTCCATCCCAGATCCCGCACCTCCTCCATTAATATCATGGAAGAGTGAGGCTATCGACCACTTTCCAAATTTTTGGAGTGGCCCCTCATCAAAAATTATTGCCCACCCCTGACTTAATCCTTTGGTGGGTGCTAAGCCAGCCTCATTTTATTATGATATTTAAATAGCTATTATAGCAAGTGCAAGGGCTTCTTCTACTGGTGTTCGTATAATGTGTTTAAAATTGGTTCATCTAGCACTGCTCCTACCCTAGTAAAAACCTCCTCAAGTCATAGATATCAACTTCATTTCACTTTTGTTTCAGAAAGGTCAGAATGCATGTCCACACAAACAGCAAAATAACACGAATTTACAATGTCATTGGCACTATCCATGGAGCCGTGGAGCCAGGTGATTTTTTTTCATTTGGTGAAGTTGTTCTTAAATAGCATGAGGTTTAATGTTTCTGAGAGAATCAGAACTGGAAAAGGCTTATTAGGTCATTTTGTCCTTGCCATCACAGTGTTCCTCTAAGAGAACTGTTAAGTGGTATATAGATGAGAATGCTACAATAAACTCACTGGGCCAGCCTTGCGTAGGACATCTCATTTTCTGTAGGACCTCTATCATATCATCTGTACAATCTTACACCAGCATGTTCTAACACAACACAAAGTATAATGGACTAGTGATAAGCTAGACAAAGTTGAGGATGTTGTGGGATTCAGAACTTGGAAATACAGGATCTGAATCAAAGTCTACATCCTCATTTGTCAGTTGCTTGTATCTTTATAGGGGCTTAAATGGAAACCCTGCATACAAACTTTGGGATATTTGGTATTTGACTATGTATCCTGATTTGAATTCTGCACCTAGGTTACATCGCAATAACACAGAATCTAAAATTGCTAAAATTATGATTGATCAGACAGTTAGATGTGGGTAGTTTTATTCTAACCATATTTCCAAGATAAGGAATGAAAAGATTATTAAAACAAATCTACATAGGAACAAAGGTTATAAACTGGAAAACAAATAAAAAATATTTGTGTCAGATTGTAAACTGCAACACAATCAGTAGGGAATTATAGCATGGGCTTTTAAAAACCATTGTACAGTAAAACTCCGATAGTCCGGCATCCAGCTGTTCGGCACTCCCAATACTCCAGCATCAACATGCCAAGTGCTCCTGACCAGATGATTAAAAAGCCTGCCACTCAGCACACTTGCTGGCTGTAACCAGAGGGAGCATACGGGGAGTGGGATCTTGTTAAAGTATGGAGAAGAGCGTTTTGCTTCAGCGAAAGGGAAAGGGGAGGGGAGAGGGAGGAGGATCAGGTTACAGCACAGAGGAGACCCGAAGAGGAAAAGGGAGCAGAGAGGGAGGGAGATTGTGTCTTGGCCAGCTGTTAAGCCATGCAGCTGTACCAGACCTCCTGATTCTCCGGCAAATCTGATAATCTGGCACCAATTAGGTCCAAAAGGTGCCAGATTATCGGAAGTCTGCTGTGATTAGTTTTCATTATAGTTTGGGAAAGTTGGGAATGAAATTAAAGGAAAAGACTGAATTATAGGTACCCCGAGTGTATTCTGAATTAGAGACTGATTCTGTATCTTTGTTCCCAGACAGATATATTATTCTGGGAGGACATAGAGATTCCTGGGTATTTGGTGGGATTGATCCAACCACTGGTACAGCTGTTCTTCAAGAAGTTGCTCGGAGTTTTGGCAAAATGATGATGGAAGGTAACATTATTGTAACTGGAGAAGGTGAAACTCAAGGGCTATGAAAAACACTATTTGGAGGAATCAAGTGGACTTTACCAGTAAGCAGATGCATATACCTTATGTTGGTGCTATGCATAGGATTGAATTTCACATAATAGGCCTTGCAACTTGTAACGTGCATACACATGAATGTGAGTGAGGCACCTAGAGAGCTCCTAAACATGGATATATCTGCAATTAACTTAACATGGCAGATAATGTGAACTGCTTGAATTTCTGCCTTCATTGTCTGTGTAAAATAAGTCACTCAGTTGTGACTCTGGGATTTTGCCTTTATAATAAAAATATTGTAGTGGTCTACAGAATTTGGGGGGATCTACAGAATTTGGGGGGAAGAATTTCACTGATACATATTATGCATAATTTTCTGTGGTGTACTAAGGGGTTTTTTTAAAGTGACTCAGTCAATGGTGGCAATCTCTATTTGAATTTTTCTCCTTAAATCAAATTTAACTGTGTGATTACAGGTTGGAGACCTAAGAGAACTATTATTTTTGCTAGCTGGGATGCAGAAGAATTTGGACTATTAGGTTCCACAGAGTGGGCCGAGGTAAATAAAGAATAGTACAAAAGCATAAATGATGAACATGTGTGGCTCTGTGTTTCCCTCTATGGGCCTAATTCTGTGTGGACATACCCTGTTTAAATTAATGGAGCTCGAAGCAGATTTAGGGAGGAGGTCTGTCTATACTGTTCTCATTGTAGGATTAGGGTACAGTTGTTTGTAGCACAGCAGGGTCCTAACTATGGCTCCTAGATACTACCATAATATAAATGCTAGCTAATAACAATGGTATGCACACAGTAATTCCTCTAAAGATGTAAAGACTACAGGAATGTCAGCTTTAAATCAAATACACTAAGGAAGAGTATGGTAAATTACTGTCCTGTTTGAAAATACGTTTTTTCAGCAAGCAAAATGGCCTCCAAAAATTGAGCGCCAAATCATGTCATGGTGATCCATAGGCACCCATTGGGACCTCTGCATGTGGAAATCAACACCATGTGCTCTATTTCAAAATAAGAGCTGTGTAGACGCAACCTATTTCAAAATCTGTCCAGTAAAAAAAACCAGAAAATACCGGATATATAAAGCAAATGTATTCTTTAAGTGTAAGTGAGTATTTTCTGTCTTTCTCGGACGGAAGGCCAGCTGGGACTGTGGGAATTTAAAGGCACAGCGTCTCCCTTTTTGGGGGGTGAGGGGCAGAGTGGTCAACCAATTTTTTTCCCTGCCATGTTCAGGATTTTTTGTGAAAGTATCTGGCAACCCTAAATGGCAGAGTCATACTGAATCTCTGGACTATAACAACCTCTCAGACTTTAGCCCTAGTGTCTCTATGTAATTATCTTTTAGCTTCATTTTGGTGCCATACATCCCTCCTTCTGAATCCTGGATTAGACTGACTTTAGTCAATGCTCAGTTAAAGGTTCTCTGCAGCAATTTACCTGATTAATTTTTCATCCACTAAATCTTGAGGAAAATTAACCCTTTGCTCATTAGGTCAGGGATGTAACCACAATCTCTGAAAATGTATCAGCACTTCATACTTCTGGAAACATTTGTTCATAGTTGAAGTGATTAATTCAAATCAAGTGGCTAGTGAACTGCCTATGTATAGCTACATGTATCTATAGATAGATAGATATTTTCAAGTTTTACATTAAATTAAATATATCACACACACTCAGGCCTCTTCTCTCTCTTTTTTCCATGGACACTGTCTCTTCCTTTCCTCACCCCCACTCTCACACACATACACACATGTGATTCATATTTGATTTACATTTGATTCTTCAATCATTTTTATATTACAGGCAGTCCCAGACTTACGCGGATCCGACTTATGTCGGATCCGCACTTATGAATGGGGCTTTTCTCGCCCCGGAGCTCATGGGCGGTGGGTTGCCGCCTGTGTCCTCCGGGGCGAGAAAAGCTTCTCCCGGTCTCCCTGGTCTGCTGGGGGGATCCAGCAAAGCCGTTGGACCCCCTCAGCAGACCAGGGACACTCGAGCAAAGCCACCGCCTGGGCGGCTTTGCTCGTTTGCCCGGGAGCAAAGCCGCCCAGGCAGCGGGACTCCCACCGCCTCGGCGGCTTTGCTCCTGTCCCCCTGTTCTGCTGGGGAGGTCCAGTGGCTTTGCTGGGTGTCCCTGGTCTGCTGGGGGGGTCCAGCGGCTTTGCTCGACCCCCCCCCCCAGAGCAGGGAGACAAACG